GCACGCCCTGTAATTCCAGCTACTTGGAAGGCTGAGGCGGAAGGATCGCTGGAGCCCAGCAGGTTGAGGCTGCGGTGGCTGGAAGTGGCCACTGCACTCCAGTCTGGGCGACAGAGTGAGACTCAAACTCAAAAAAAAAAAAAAAATATGAGTAATAAAGCTGCTTTCTTTTGGTAGCCTTTTTAATGTTAGCTTTTTCCCTAAGGCTGGCTTACTCATATTCACGATTATTTATTTAAGTGACCCTAATGTCCTGTTTTGTGGTTTGTATGATGCAGTTCACACTCTTGAGTAGAATTGACTATAACCTGCTATAAGCGACTCGCTTACCTGATTCTTTACTAGTTCTCAGCTAGAAGTTCTCACCAGCCTCATGATATAGAAAATGAGTCGTGTTTTTCCCTTTTATTGTAGACAACAGATAAAGAAGTCCCAGGGTTGGTACTAATGCAAGATTTGGCTTTCCTGAGTGGATTTCCACCGACATTTAAGGAAACAAATCAACTGAAGACAAAATTGCCTGAAACTCTTTCTTCTAAAATCAAACTGGTAAGAACATAGAAAATAGAGCAGTCTGCCTGACACGTGTCATTTCGTGTGTGACCCTTCTCTTGGGCCTGTTTTCTCAAAGTGTAGCTGGTGATAAGAAGCAAAGACAAAGCCTGTTCTACCACAACAGGATGTCACTGGGGAGCTTTTATTTGTAGAAGAACCTCACCCTTACTGTTACTAATTTGCCCAGAACGTGAATAGTCCTGCTTGGATGGCTTGTTTCCCAGGTAGAGCAGGATTCGTTTGTTTAGTAAAAGGGCTCCTGCAACGTGCCAGGGTCAGGAGTCCTTACAGCTTCTAGGGATGCTGTGGTGTCAGGGAGGGGAGCAAGAGGGAGAGCTGAGGGGAAATCGTAAACACAGTAAACACAGCACTCCCCATGCATGTGCTTCTGGTGTTTGGCACGTTGAGGGGTGAGAAGCCACTCACGGAGCTGATGGAGACAGGAATGGATTGCGAGTCTGTACTTAGCCGGGCTCAGTGGCTCAGCCTGTAATCCCGTGCCTTTGGGAGGCTGAGGTGAATGGATTGCCTGAGCCCGCGGGTTTGAGACCCAGTCGCCTGCGCAGTGAGACCTCATCTCTACAATAAATCAAAAAAATCAGCCGGGCGTAGTAGCTCATGCCTGTAATTCCGGCTACTCAGAAGTCTGAGGCGGAAGGATCGCTGGAGCCCAGCAGGTCGAGGCCGCGGTGGCCGGGAGTGGCCGCTGCACTCCAGTCTGGGCAACAGAGTGAGACTCCAACTAGAAAAAAAAAAAAAAGAGAGTCTGTACTTACTAACTCTTCAGGCTTGACTGTTGATGCTGTGTGCCAAGGTGGCCCTTGGAGGCTGGCCAGGGATGTGCCTTCTCCCCAACACTTGTATCTTTAGAATCATTTGCCTGATTGATTTAGGAGACAGTCCACATGGGTGTACATCTCATGTCAGGGCACCTGCTGCTCACTGAGAAACATTCCAGGTTAAGTGGGAGAACGCAGAGTAGAGTGTAGGACCCTGAATGTGTTGGGCTCTGGTCTTGATTTTATAAAGATGCTCTTTGTGTTCTGCCACTGAGCTTGGCTTACCTGATTCCTTTAGCAGTTTGGAGGGTGAAAGGGTGGAGATGGGCAGTGTTGGTGAGCTGTGACGATGCAGGTTCTTACTCAATTTCCATCTTCACCGTGTTTTTTTTTTTTGAATTGGAGTCTCACTCTGTCACCCAGGCTAGAGTGCAGTGGCATGCTCAGGGCCACCCCACAGTCTGTCTGCCGGGCTCAGGCTTCCAAGTAGCTGGAACTGTAGGCACTTGCCACCACAGCCAGGTAATTTTTTGACTTATTGTAGAGATGAGGTCTTGCCAAGTTGCCCGGGCTGGTCTCAAACCCATGGGCTCAGGCAGTCCTCTCACCTCTGCCTCCCAAAGTGCTAGGATTATTGGCATGAGCCACCGTGTCTGGCCTTCACTGTGTTTTTTTTTTTGTTGTTGAGTCGGAGTGTCACTCTGTCACCCAAGCTGGAGAGCAGTGGCATGCTTTTGGCCACTGCAGCCCCGACCTGTTGGGCTCAGGTGATCCTTCCACCTCAGGTGATCCTTCCACCTCAGCCTTCCAAGTAGTTAGAACTACAGGCACACGCCACCATGCCTGGCTTATTTATTTATTTATTTATTGTAGAGATGAAGTCTCACCAGGTTGCCCAGGCTGGTCTAGAACCTGCGGGCTCAGGCGGTTCTCTCACCTTGGCCTCCCACAGTGCTGGAATTACAGGCATGCGCCACCGTGCCTAATCTCACTGTGTTTTTATACCCAATCTGCCAGCGTTCCTTTTAGCTTGTTTCTTTTTTGCATAAGTATTTCACCATTTTATGTTCCATGGTATTATCCTTGTATTACAATGGTAATGTGGATGACCATTTATGAATTTGGGGTTTTTTTCGAGTTTTACTTTGCTGTTCAGGCTGGAGTGCAGTGGCCACCTTGACGTGCTGGGCTCAGGCGATCCTTCCACCTCAGTCTTTTGAGTAGTTGGCACTACAGACATGTGCCACCGTGTCTGGCTAATTTTTTTATTTTTGTAGAGATGAGGTCTCGCTATGTTGCCCAGGCTGGTCTCGGCCTCCTGGCAGAGGCAATTCTCTTGTCTTGGCCCCCCAGAGTGCAGGGATTGCAGGCATGAGCCACCATGCCCAGCCTCCAGCCAATGTTTATTTGGCTTCTTAGCTTTCTAGCTGTTAGTTGCAGAATTAAAGCCACATGTGCATCTGGACCTTTGTTTTTCTTTTTCTTTTTGTTTTTTTTTTTTGAGTCAGTCTTACTCTGTTATCCAGGCTGGAGTGCAGTGGCATGCTCACAGCCACCACATCCTCAACCTGATGGACTCAGGCAATCCTTCTGCCTCAGCCTTCCAAGTAACTGGAACTACAGGCTCACACTACCGCATCCAGCTAAATTTTTTATTTATTGTGGAAATGAGGGCACACCAATTTCCCAGGCTGGTCTCGAACTCCTGACATCAGGCAATCCTCTTGCCTCTGCCTCCCAAAGTACTGGGATTACAGGTGGGAGCCACCGTGCCCGACTTGCATCTGGACTTTTGACTGTCAGCTCAACTTGCTTATGTACAAAGAATGACATTCTTGATTCTATTTATATAATCACAACTGTCATAAAAATTTAACGGGCAGAGGTGTATTCCTCTTGTTTATTTTTCATACTGGTTTGAGTGTCCCACATCTTTGGCCTGACGCAGCTGCTTGTGGTGCCGTCTGTGGTGGTGCCTCTGCTGGCGAGTGGGCCACCAGGGAATGCCAGTGCTGAGGAGTGGGTAGGCCTCCAGCAGACTGTTTCTGGATGGCATGGTGTGGCATATGCAGGTGAGGTGGGGTGGGTAGTGACTTTGAATTGGACAAAGGACACTGGCAGGTTCTGTGCATGACAGTACCCATATCCACAGTTCCTTTACCTGGTTGGAATTCACTTGGATTTCCAGGCGTGTCTTTGTGGAGACCAGCACCACTCAGTGTGCCAACCTTGTTAGCCATGACATTCTGCGAAGGTTGCTTTCATGATCACAGTTCCCAAGTGGCTAGATTCAGAGTCTGGGACTTGGGACCTTTGGAGCCTGGAAAGATGAGGAGAGGACTAGGAGAAGGAGCGGGTTGGCCTCTGAGCCCACCCACACAGCCTCCCTCTCCTTAGGCCCCACCTCCCGACTTGACAAGAGTACTCGGAGCGTTATGTTGCCAGTCCATTTGGGAAGCAAGCATGTATTCTTTTTTTTTTTTTTTTTTTGAGTTGGAGTCTCACTCTGTCGCCTAGGCTGGAGTGCAGTGTCACTCTCTTGGCCACCGCAGTCTTGACGCTGGGCTCAGGCGATCCTTCTACCTCAGCCTTCCAAGTAGCTAGAACTACAGGCATGTGCCACCACACCTGGCTAATTTTTCCTGATTTATTGTGGAGACAAGGTCTCTCCATGTTGTTCAGGCTGGTCTCAAACCCATGGGTTCAGGCAAACCCTCACCTTGACCTGCCAAAGTGCTGGGATTACAGGCTTGAGCTACCACGCCCAGACTAACATTAACTGGTTTTTTGTTTTTTTTGAGTTGGAGTCTCACTCTGTCGCCTAGGCTGGAGTGCAGTGTCACTCTCTTGGCCACCGCAGTCTTGACGCTGGGCTCAGGCGATCCTTCTACCTCAGCCTTCCAAGTAGCTAGAACTACAGGCATGTGCCACCACACCTGGCTAATTTTTCCTGATTTATTGTGGAGACAAGGTCTCTCCATGTTGTTCAGGCTGGTCTCAAACCCATGGGTTCAGGCAAACCCTCACCTTGACCTGCCAAAGTGCTGGGATTACAGGCTTGAGCTACCACGCCCAGACTAACATTAACTGGTTTTTTGTTTTTTTTGAGTTGGAGTCTCACTCTGTCGCCTAGGCTGGAGTGCAGTGTCACTCTCTTGGCCACCGCAGTCTTGACGCTGGGCTCAGGCGATCCTTCTACCTCAGCCTTCCAAGTAGCTAGAACTACAGGCATGTGCCACCACACCTGGCTAATTTTTCCTGATTTATTGTGGAGACAAGGTCTCTCCATGTTGTTCAGGCTGGTCTCAAACCCATGGGTTCAGGCAAACCCTCACCTTGACCTGCCAAAGTGCTGGGATTACAGGCTTGAGCTACCACGCCCAGACTAACATTAACTGGTTTTTTGTTTTTTTTGAGTTGGAGTCTCACTCTGTCGCCTAGGCTGGAGTGCAGTGTCACTCTCTTGGCCACCGCAGTCTTGACGCTGGGCTCAGGCGATCCTTCTACCTCAGCCTTCCAAGTAGCTAGAACTACAGGCATGTGCCACCACACCTGGCTAATTTTTCCTGATTTATTGTGGAGACAAGGTCTCTCCATGTTGTTCAGGCTGGTCTCAAACCCATGGGTTCAGGCAAACCCTCACCTTGACCTGCCAAAGTGCTGGGATTACAGGCTTGAGCTACCACGCCCAGACTAACATTAACTGGTTTTTTGTTTTTTTTGAGTTGGAGTCTCACTCTGTCGCCTAGGCTGGAGTGCAGTGTCACTCTCTTGGCCACCGCAGTCTTGACGCTGGGCTCAGGCGATCCTTCTACCTCAGCCTTCCAAGTAGCTAGAACTACAGGCATGTGCCACCACACCTGGCTAATTTTTCCTGATTTATTGTGGAGACAAGGTCTCTCCATGTTGTTCAGGCTGGTCTCGAACCCCTGAGCTCAGGCAGTCCTCTTGCCTCCACCTTCCAAAGTGCTGGGATTACAGGTTTGAGCCGCTGTGCCTGGCTTGGAAACAAGCATTTATTAAGTGCTTCCCATGTGCCAGGGGCTGTGTTAGGGATCCCTGAGTGGATGAAAGCCTTTGGGTTGTTTTGGGTATGACCAGTTCCGAGTAAGAGTTGACCTGAAGTACTGGCACTGGGACATGCTTGGGGCAAGGCAGGTTTGGCACTGCAGAGGCCTTTTTTTATTTTTTTTGAGTTGGAGTCTCACTCTGTCG